GTTTGGGGGTGCTAAGGGAGCATCAGTTTTCTCTTACTTGTGAATGTTGCTATTATTAGTTTTGTTTGTTTTTTCTTCATTTTCCTTCCAAAAACTCTTGTTTCTGTTATTTATTTTCTCTCCCCGTGGTATAATTGTCATCATATTTGATAATCTTCAGAGATGAACTATGTTTGTTTTTTCTTTATTTTCCTTCCAAAAACTCTTGTTTCTGGTATTTATTTTCTCTCCCCGTGGTATAATTGTCATCATATTTGATAATCTTCAGAGATGAACTCTTCAGAGATGAACTTTTATATGGAAAATCTTTTGAAGATGTCCATAAATTCCATTTCCATTCTGTTCCCAGCAATGCTCTGACTTTCTGTGGTCAGTGGCTAAGTCATTGAACTACTTACGCTGGTACTAGTTTCTCCTTTGGTCACATGTTTATTTTTAGGACTATTTTTGGTTGAGGAATTTACTGACTCATTCTAGAAAATCTTTCTACACTAGAATTAGGCAAGCTAATCCAGAAATTTGGAACCTTATTGTTATACAGATTGACTATATGTAGATTGGTTTAATAAAACACATGGTAGGTGCCAATGATATTTACTGCTTTGATTAAATGACAGATATGTGCATTTCCAAGTTTATATCTCTTTAAATAAGAAAATGAATTCTATCATCATTTAGACAGGTTTTCTACATTTTGGGGGCTTGATGGAAGCCCAGCCCATTTCAAAGTAGCACTTACTGGTCCATATTGGAAGAGGAGAAAGAAGGAAAGTCAGCAGATAGTATTTATTGTTTTGTGAATGTACCACAGTGAGAACATTGCTCAGTATTTCTTTCTTCTGTTAACCTAGTCATCACGCTGATCCTGCGATGTGGCTACTATTAATATCTTTTTCCTTATGTGGAAACTAAGGCATAGAGAGGGATTATAAGGTATAACGTAGTTGTTAGGTATAAAGAGGCAGTCAGATTGCAGAACTTTTAGTCACAATCACTATACTATGCTAACTCTACTGCATGTTACGGCCACATATTTTGGGGACTGAGTGAAGAATGACTTCTGATTGTTCAGTTATTTTCAGATGGCCTCTTACTCTTCTCTCTCTCAAAAACTTTAATTTTAGAAACTTTGAAAACATCTCCTGCTCTTAATGCTAAATTTAGAGAAGAAACCAGAACTAAATCAGGATACTTTGTATGTGATTCTTTTAGATTTAGTTTCAACAGAAAATATCAGGAGTGGGTTAAGGAATAAAAGTTCTTAAGTTCTGAATTCTTATTCATATTTTTTAGTGGTATATTAATAACTCATTACAACTTTAAAAATGAAATAGTTGATATTTAACAAGTTACATGCAAATAATTACACTTAATCTTAATGAGGAGGGATCATCATGAGGAAGTGAGGTAAACAGGGATATATTCCAAATTTTAAAAGATTGTTTTCAAAAAATTAAGTTTGCTGTTTATAACAAACATTTTCATGTTTCTTTTTAAAACTTTTTAATTGTGGTAAAATATGCATAACATAAAATTTACCATCTTAATAATTTTTAAGTGCAGAGATCAGTGTGAGTATATTTGTTTTCTTGCACAACCAATCTCCAGAACTTCTTCATCTTACAAAACTGAAACTCCATACTATTAAACAGCACCCCCGATTCCTCTCACCTCAGACCCTGGCAACCACCATTCTACTTTCTGTACTTATGATTTCGAGTACTTTAGATATCTCATGTGAGTGTAAGAGGAATCATACAATATTTGTCCTTTTCTGACCGGCTTATTTCATTTAGGCAGATGTCCTCAAGATTCATTTATGTTGTAGCATGTGTCAGAATTTCCTTCTTTTATAAAGCTGAATAATATTCCACCGCATATATATGACACATTTTCTTTCTCCATTCATCCTTCAATGGAGGTTTTTATTGTTTTCACATCTTGGCTATCGTGAATGATGCTGCTAGGAGCATGGCTGCACAAATCTCACTTCTAGACCCTGCGTTCAGTTATTTTTGGATATATATTCAGAAGTGGAATTGCTGGACTATTAGGTAACTCTACTTTTATTTTTTGTGGACATGCCATACTGTTTTCCATAGTGGTTGCACCATTTTATTTTCCCACTAATAGCACACAAGGTTCCAATTTCTCCATATCCTTGCCAACACTTGTTACCTTCTGTTTTTGTTGTTTTGCAAAGCAGCCATTTTAATGGATGTAAGGTGATGTCTCATTGTGGTTTTGGTTTGCATTTACCAGATCCATGTTTCTTTATATTCCCCTTTAGTCATTCATCATAGAAAAAAGGAACATAAATAGTTTTGAGTCCTAAGTATTTAGAAATAATTTCATTAAATTTTACTTTCACAATGTCTGTATCTTCATTCTCAAAATATTTCACTTTTTGTTATGCTTTAAGCCCAAAGTTCATCTAGTATTTCTTTGTTTGTAGCTGTTCTTCAGTTGCTGATGATAGTGAATCTGGAGAATTCTTCAAGCACCTCCGTTTTGTGCTGGTGTCAGTATTTCCAGAACTCCAGTTAGCTGGATGGCAAAGCCAGGGCTTCTGGTACATTGTCCTGCTGATGGTTTCTCTCTGGTTCCTGAGACTCTACTGGCATTACCTTGCCCAGTGGCTTTTCCTCCATGCCATTTCAACTCCAGTTACCAAGTGAGTGCTTTCCCCTGGAAGTCAAAGGGATGCATTTTCATCTTCATAGGACAAATGAAAGTACAGAGCACCTCTCCTGTCTATTTACCATAAGACCTAAAATTCAGGTATGATTTGAAAAGACAAAAATGTCTTCATCCAAGAGCAAGAACATCTATTACAGTTATAGTCTCATCTTATGGGCTTGTACATACAAATGCACAAACGGTATATCAATATTTATATAAAATTTAGCAGATCCAAATATGTTCTAATATCTGAGCAAGATCCACAAGGAATTTAGCAACAATGTATTGTTCTATTTTGATTTTATCAGAGTGACTTAGGCTGAAGGTATTTTAGAAGTAACATAAGTCTGATTTATCACCTGTACTCAGAAGCAAAGATTGCTGCTTCTGCAAAATTACTGAATTCAAACAATTACCAAACTCAAGCCTAGGCAGCTTTCTGGGCCATTATCCTCTGGAAAAAGATGACACTTTAAAGGTTATCTCTCCATAAACATGACTCCATAGACACAGTAGATAGACAAACAGATAGATATCAATACAAGTGAAATTCATTTTCTCAGATGTAGATGGTACAGATTAAAAATAAAGATGTGTGTCTAGTTTCAAGAGAGAAGATTGCAAAGAACTTTATGACTTCATGAAAGGGAAATATGTGTATGTTTATATATATATGCACACACGTGGTTTTTGATAATCTTATGAAATTAAATCACAATAGTTGAATATGTCAATGAATATGCAAACTTATAAATTCCAAATGACTGTATTTTAAAGGGAATATTTACATGGACATTTCCTCCTTTTTTTCTTTTTCTTTCTTTTTTATTTTTTTGTCAAGATTTCCAAAGCAGAAAGGACAAATATTACATGCTTGGGCTAGTTGCTTTTTGCTATGCACTTTTTTATCGTTCGATAAAAAAGGAATCCTATCTTTAGTAGTTGTTATTAAAATGAAACTGCAATTAAATTGACAGCCCAGTTCTGACAATTTCTTAAACAACGAAGGATCTAAGATATAATAGGAGATTTTGTTGGCTGTTGTCTCGGTTGAAAGCTTAAATCATACTGTGTCACATCTTAGCTATGAGGCACAGCAATAATAACACCAAAAATGAACATTTCTTCTTCTCTCTGTGTCAGCTGCTGTGCTAACAAATGTACGTGTGTTATGTCACTTGATATTCACAACAGCATAAGAATAAAGCATAACACTTCCTTTGAAGCAAAGGTCAAGGAGTGGATAAAATGAAAAACTCCTTTAGTAGAGAGCTGATAAGTAGGATGTCCAAGCAGAATTAACTACAAAACAGCTTTACATATTCTGAAATTTAGGGAAGGGAACACTTAGAGTGAAATGAAGTCTCGTTTTGCACAGAAAGGCTGCTCAAATTACTGGGTTCAGATTGAATTGAATTGAATGCTTAGATTCTTAGGTTGTGTCAAATTGATCCTTTTAGATCAACCAAGAAGTAGGATATTTTGGTTGTTAGTGGTGGTGTTCTTGCTGTTGTATTCGGGAGTCTAGCTAGAAGGAGCACAAGCAACGTTAATCAGCTATGCTAATACTGTGCAGAATTATTAGGTATGTATCTAAGGTATATATCTATTTCTCATTTCTGTTAGAGGTGGACCCATTAGAAACTTTGCTGGTATATTTTGCATTTCAAAAAGTCTACTAGTAAATACTGTGTAAATTGCAGGGAAGCTCTGCTCAGTGGCTTAAATTGACATATTTTCTATGATTGCCCGTGACACAAGAACAATGAACAGGGTAGTATTTTCCTTTTCCTTGAAAGTCAGTTGTTGAGGTGGTACTAAGGGGTCAGAAAAAGATGAACACTTAATTTGGGGGTACTATTAAATGTCAAGTTGTCTATATTAAAATAGAAAGCAAAGCACATCGTTCTTCACATTCTTGTGTGCATGTGGCATTTTGTGTAATTCCTCGTTTGCACATATGTGATTGCCGTTTTCCCCCCACAGGTTCCATTTTTTCCCTCACACTGTTGAGCTTTGCTACCCAACTTCTGCACTTTGCATGGCAGAAGAGCTGCCTGTGGTCGCGGTGGGGCCTTTGATGCTGAATGCAGTCTTCCTCCTTTTGGTTCTGATCCGATGGGGCTGTCAGCTAGTGTTTGCCTCCTGCCCTGATGTCTTGTCAAAGTTAATCATTGCCATGGGACTATGGACAGTTCTAGACCCATTGGCAGTGTTTGTGGTGGATGCTTTCCTGGGGGTAAGTCAAATAAAATAACCAGGATATGAGTCCTTGATGTTGAATTTAGCTTTAGTGCATGAATCAGTTGACATGGGAAGTTTCAATAATGATGAACACTCAATATTCATCTTAAATTGGAGTTAAGGTTTTCCTCATAAAAATTCATAAATGTCTACTACAATCAATTTAAATGTAATTTTAACTATCTTAAACATTTGCGAAATAAGCCAGAAATCATGTCGAAGATCAAATCCAAGCTAGCTGTCACATTTTCAAAATTAATACAATGAAGCTTTATTTGGTAACTTTTTTTGGGGTAACTTCTTTTAATATTAAGGATTTTCATTGGCAAAATTGCAAAAAAGTAGCTGTACAGTATATCCTTTCATTGGTTTGGTTATTTATCTGCTTTGTGATATAATACTCTTCTGTAATAAAGACTCTCAAGAAGAATAAAAGCTTTTCAAAAATTTGAAAGTAATAAATAAATTAAAAAAAAATCAACACATAGGTATTTATTTTGACTTTTGTAATGAATAGGAGTAACAAATATAGTATATTTCACACTCAAATATGTAGTTTTCGGATTTCAGGATTATGGATATTGTACTAAAGTACATGAGGATGTAGAAACAATGGTGATAATGATTCTAATATTTGAAGAGGGCTATGTATTTTTCTAGCATCTTCACACAATTTGTTTGATTGCATATTTACGACAAGACTGGAAGTTGGTGGGGTAAGAACTGGGAGAAATCAGAATCATAGAATTATATGATTTGTCCAAGGCCATAGTGCCTCACCCTGCAACTAGGACTGGGATCCAGAGTACTAAATTCTAAGGCTGGTGTTTCTTCCATTATGTCTCACTATCTACTTCAGACTGAGTTTATGCATTATTTTGCAAAATCAAATGTCTCCCATCCCTAATGACAATTATTTGATAACACCAAAGTATTTGATTTAACTAATGAATTTTGGGACTATAATTTGAAGCATAATTGATGCAGATATTAGTCTGAATTTATTGCTACATCCAAATCTCTAGAGGCTTTGAATTTGCAAAGCCTGAGATTTCCTTGTGAGTGTTACTGGAATGTGCTGATTCTCAAACCTTATTCTGCTTCAGAATCTACAGCAAGGCCTTGCTAAAACACAGATTGCTGGGCTCCACCCCCATCGTTTCTCTTTTCATAGGTCAGGAGTGGGGCCCAAGAGTTTGCATTTCTAACAAGTTCCCAGGTGATGTTGTTGGTCTAAGGACCACAGTTGGAGAACCACTGATATCATAGCTGCACAGGAAAGCTCTGATGAGCAGACTGGGAAGATGCAGGAGTGGCAACATAGCTTGGAAGATCCAAGCTCTGGCATATTGAAGACTCAATGGAGCATCCTTTGCCATCCCGCCTGTTACCCACGATCCCCAACCTGCAACTTAGCAACTTTATCTAAGCCTCATTTAAGTTGCTGAATGCTTTAGATTAGATTATGAAAGCAAAATAAATAAAAGATGTGGACAAATAATGGAATAATTCAAGCCAAAAAACACTTAAACTTTGAGTCATCAAATTTTTAAGCACATTCAATAGGCAAAAGAAGGGAAATCTACATTTAAACTCAATTTCTGCATTGTAGATCTGGCCAGAAAATATAGCTCCAAGCAGGAGAGCAAATGGATAGTGTAAATTAATCAATATGATCAGATATTAATTTATACAATTATCTTAATTTATGACATAATATTCCACCTGGTATATTTCTCCCATTAAGAAGAAAAAGAAAAATTTTACATATATATGTTTATACTGTATTCACTGTGACAGGCAGATCACAGAGACAAGGCGTTTTGATGGACTCTACTTTTTAACTATGTTTGAAGTTGACTACCATTAATAACGTGCTTTTAGAACTAAAGACCAAAGTGCTGTCCAAACTGCATCTGTGAAGATATTCCACATCCTGGGTACTGAAACAAGTAACCAAGTTCAGCAGAGCCTCTTGCCATTTCTCTATCTCAGGCTATAGTGTACCAGAGCAGTGCTTCTCAAACTCTAATGTGTTTTCAAGTTTTCTGGGGATCTTGTTAAAAGGCACATTCTGACTGTGCAGGTAGGACCTGAGATTCTGCCTTTCTAACAGATTCCCAGGTGATACCAATGATATTGGTTCTGTAGGGACCACACAGTGGGAAACAAGGTGCTAGATGCTTTACCCAGAAGGCCTCTCCATACACTTTGCTGCTTCCTAGGCTGGGCTTTTACTCATTGGGGATTCCTCGGCTGCTCTCAACCAAACCGGGGTCCTGGAAACTCTAAGTCAGCTAAAGCCTTTTTAGATTTCATGTAAGAATTCTGACTCCTTTCTGAGTGGAAGTGACCTCTGCTAGGAATGCTCAGAAGTACAATTGTTGAATTTAGCCATGTAGGTCATCTAACGTTATTAAAATGAACTAAAAACAGTGCACATTGAGCCTACCAGTGTATCTAGTTTCTAGTCCCACTGCTAGGGATTGGAGGTAGAATCATACACCAAGGAAAACTCATCAGTATATGAAAGGCAGACTTGTTTTTATGCTCCAGCTTGTGGCCCACTCTCTGAAACCTCAGCATCATTGAACACCTTGATGATGTGGCAGAGAGGAAAGAGGCTCAGAGCCTTTTGAGTTAGACGTAGTTGAAGTTGTATTTTCTATCACATCTTTAAGATTTTTTTCAATCCTGCTGATTAATCTCATTCTGATTCTGTGTATATTGATCTGCAGCCAGATGGATTTCATCCACATTCTGCCTCTCTCAGACTCCAAGCTAGCAAGGATACTACTGTGCTGTCAAGGTTTGCTGATCAGGAGATGTAAGAGGAATGTCGTTTGCGTACCGGGAGGATCATATCCCAGGGCTTTTCCCAATTCCTCCCGGAGGCCTGTTGTGCATATTGAGCCAGTGGGTGCTGGGACAGCATCTACTGCAACGCTACATGTGAAGCCATTTGGGGAGGATGAGCAGGTGTCCCTTATGATCTTTTGAGATCCTCAGAAGAAATGTCTGCAGCCCTCCTGGAATGGCTTTCCTTATTCCTAACAGGTCCTTTAGGCAGATTAATAGCCAACCAGTGCACTGTATCCAGGGCAGCTGATAAATGAGCAGACTTAATTTACTCTGGGGCCTCTGATGTAATCTATAGGAATGTAGCCTCCAGCGTCACCATCTCAGAACCAGTTCAGAGGTCTGTAATTTGATGGAGGTGGACTTGGGTTCTAATAGATGAGTGCAGCACCCATATCTTTCTCTACTTGGAAAGAAAAGCTAAAGGTTTGTTTCATATCTGCACAAATTATTGACTCTCCACTTAGAATCCATCATTTTTCATTGCAGAGGGCATCCACTTTTGCTATCTTTCAAAAATCTCTAAAGCTGTGTATAATTCGCAGATCAGCATCATTGAAATCCCCTGGGAATCTTTAAAAATGCACATGGACACATCCACCAGTTGAATCAAAATGTGCATTTTAACATGTTTTCCAGGTGATTTGATAGCACATTGAAGTCTGAGAGGTACTGAGCTAAAGCAATGGTTCTCATAGTGTGGTCCCTGAACTAACAGCATTAACATCACCTGGGAACTTAATAGAAATGCAAAATCTCAGGTCCTTTACCAAATCTTCCAAGTCACAAACTCTGGAAGGGGGTCCAACAACATGTGCTTTCACAAGGCTTCCAGGTGATTCTGATATTCATTAAAGTTTGAGAACTACTGTTTCACATGGGATCGCAGTTGTCATAGATTAAATGTCACTCGTGAGACTCGGGTCACCTGAGTTCATACCTGCAGGTCATTCAGAACTTCTTTTGCAGATAAAGCTGAGGATTGTCTGTTTGATCCAGGTCATCCAGCCCAGAGAGATGCTCCCTAATTCTGCTGATATTTTCTGTTCTGCAATCATTTTGTTCACAGCTCTCTGAAAGGAGATGTGGCAGGTGGAATGGTTTGCGGCTGAAGTGCTGAGTGGCTGTTGATGTTGCTAGTCACACTTTGCCAGTCTCTTGGTTTGCTGGCTCAGAGGCTGTTGATGCATTTCCTCAATGGTGACACTATGCCCAACAACTCTACAAGTTCATACATTCTTCCTCTGCCTGAGCCCTAATCTGGATAAAAAGTAGAAGAAACATTTGTTATTGAATGTTTTAATCAATCAGAACATATTTCTTGACTATATACTCTTTGCAAAAGATTTTAAAAGATACAGAATAAATATGATATTGCTCCTGCCCTTGGTATAGATAGTGAGATAAGAAGAACACACGAGATCAAAGATCAAATGAAGGTTAGAACGCAAGCACTGCCATTCAGCCAGTACCTCTCAAGGCTTCATGTCTTAGTTATTTTGTGCTGCTATATCAATAAACCTTTCAACTGGGCAATTTATAATGAACAGAAATATACCAGCTCATGGTTCTGGAGGCTGGGAAGTCCAAGATCAAGAGGCTCGCATCTGATGAGGGCTTTCTTACTGTGTCATCCCATGACAAAAGAGCAGAGAGGGCAAGAGGAGGCAAGAGATCAAACTGGCAGCCTCAAGCCCTATTATTATCGGCATTAATCCATTCATGAGGGTGGAGCCCTCATGATCTAAACACCTGCCATTAGGCCCACCTCCCAACACTGTTGCTTTGGGGATTAAGCTTCCAACACGTGCATTCTGGGGGACACATCCAAACCATAGAGAGCACTCCATTAGCAGTGACTGTGAAGTAGGAGAAAGATCACTGAGTTGGAGTCAGGGGCAGCTGGGTTCTGCTCTCAGCTCTGCCATTTGTCAACTGTGTGATATCGAATCAGTCAGTTTACCTCTCCAGCCTTCAATGTCCTCGTATGCATCCTACAAAGTAGTAATACCTGCAAATAGTAATAATCTTTCCTCATTTCACAGCATTGTTGGGAAAATCAAGTGAGAAACTCACTGGGGATAAACCTTAAAAAATCTACGTAGAACATAAAAGAAATAAAGATGAGAGGATTAAATGAGGTGATGATACTTTGCTCTTTGGATGATACAAGATGTAAGAGCCACTGTCTTGATGGTCCAGACAAGAACTTACAAATTCATTGGGGAATCAAAATATACACATACAAAGACATGGTCTAGGCAGCATGTGATGAATGCCATTTGGGAGGTACACCTTTTCTGACGGTGATATTTAGTGTCATATTTCTATTCCTCCTTTATCTCTTTTCTGCTTTATATTTTTCTTTTTAATATCATCCTCTCATATATCATATATGTTACTTAATCTTATATTTATGCTAACTATTGTTCCACACCCCATCTCTACTTAATGGTAAGCTCCATGAGGGGAGGAATTTTGACTAATTTTATCCCCTCTTTTATCTTCAGAGCTTAATGACCCACAGTAGGTACTCAGTACATGGGGGTCCAATGAATGATTAGCACTTATTGATTAGATTGTATTGTTGGTATCAAAATTATACCCTTGTTTGTTTGTTTGTTTCATCAACGAATCCTGTTTCTATCTATTTCTTGACTTTTAAGAAATAGCAGAAGAGTAAGATCTGGAATAGGAGAAATGCATGACAGGTCTTACAATCCACTGCCTAAAGTCTAAGCAGCAGATCCACATTTTGCAAGATAGACTGATTGACAAGTACAGAGTATAAAGAATAAAAGTTTGGGGTGGTCAAAGAAGCAGTAGTTGAGAGCTGGAACATCCGAATTCTAGTCACTGCCCAATCAGTAGAGTATATTTAGGTGCGGGGAAAATACAAATTAATCTGTCTAGGCTTCCGTTTTCATCCATACATAAGTATATATAAATAAACTATATTTATATAAACTATATTTTTATATAAACTAAAGAAACTAAGGAAATTCTCTCATTCTTGCATTGGGGACAAGATACCTTATTTTATGTTTATATTGCACATTATTTCTATTTGATACCATAGTCATAATTTATTTTTATTTTTTTAAAAGATGACCAGTAAGGGGATCTTAACCCTTGACTTGGTGTTGTTAGCACCACGCTCTCCCAAGTGAGCTAACTGGCCATCCCTATATAGGGATCTGAACCTGTGGCCTTGGTGTCATCAGCACTACACTCTCCCAAGTGAGCCACGGGCCGGCCTCATAGTCATAATGTAAAAAATTCATATTTTATAAAATTCAAAGGTCAAAGGCCTCATTATGATGATACTGTAGCTCCTTAGCAATTTATATTTGTTTTTAAAGACCTCATTGCCTTGTATTTATTTCTAATCTGATATAAAATTCATCTTTCCTTGTCTAAAATAAGGGCTTATTGTTAACTTAATGTAAACTTTGGTTTTCAGCCTCACATTAAATAGCCTGATAACTTTTTTATAAGTTTCTAAAATAAGCCATCACTTTTATGCATAGCACAAATTAAATTCCTATCCAATCTGCTTCAGAAAGAAAGGAATCTTTCCACCATCATATTTAATTTCTTCATATCTTGTGTTCATTAAATTCAGAAGTTAATAGTACATAAATAAAACATGGCTTTTACTGTATAAATTGCATGTCCAGTGCATGCATTTAATGGCTTAGAGAGGAAAAAAGAAAAACCTGGTAAACCAAGCATGCAGAACTTAGCCCTTTTTCTTTTCCTTTCTGCAGCTCAAACTCTAGCAATCTTCAGTATCTAGATTTAATTTAAAGACAAATTATAGTGTCATATAGTCTTTCTGTATTTCAATTAATCAAACCTAATGAACAGTTTTTCCATCCTCATTTAAAAAAAATCTGTATCTTGATTTGTCAGCGGCTTACACATAATGTGGAACCGCCTGTAGCTGATGCGGCGAAGCTCTAGTGCATGTTTGTAAGGACCACACAACCAGGAGTCCTTGGTGCAGTGATCATGGTGCTGCTTTACATCCTCCTGTTCATCATTTCTTCTTTGATTTTATATGTGGACTGTCTCAGGTAAGCTGCCTCAATTAGTTTGTTCTTCAGAGTGTTCAGACTCCACTCTTGTTGTTATATCGTTAGGTTGTGAAAATGTGGTTAAAGAAGAGAAGTTAGAACCATCTCCACATCACTAGGGTAGCAATGTCCTTGGTTACACGTAACAGTTGTCATGAAGATCAGCCAAGAAATTATTTGACTTTTAGGGAAATATTTTCCCCATAATAGCCAGAGCTAATTTTGCTGTGGGTCATGATACTTGTTTCTTCAAACCAGGGACCAACAGGAAACAAAGAGTATTCCCTTGATATCTAATGACATCCTGGAAAATTTCCTGGGAAGCTTGTCTGCAATTCTCTTTTTCTCCTCTTTTCAACCTGATTTCTTCCCACACTCCCCACCTCTGCCAAAATCAACAATAGTAGAATCATCCTTCAGCTTTGATCTTGAATAACATAAGGTTTGGCTTGCCAGGTCGTCAAGTTAGCAAGCAGTGCGCGGGGGCGAAGAAAAGCAAGAAAAGCAACAAATACGAGACTGTGAAAAGTGCTAGGGAGACGTTTTACTCTGCTGAATGTCTCCTTTGCTTTGCAGAAGCTTTCTAGTCTGATGTAGTCCCACTTGTCTATTTTTGCTTTGGGGGTCATATCCATGAAATCGTTGCCAATATCAATGGCATGAAGCTTTCTTCCCACATGTTCTTCTAGGAGATTTACAGTTTCATGTCTTATTATGTTTAAATCTTTAATCCATTTTGAGTTGATTTTTTTTTACATGATGTAAGATAAAGATCCACTTCTATTCTTTTGCATGTGGATGGATATTCACTTTTTCCAACATTGTTTGTTGAAGAGACCATTCTTTCTCCATTGTGTATTCTTGGCACCCTTTTTGAAGATCAGTTGACTGCATACATGTGGATTTATTTCTGGGCTCTCTATTCCATTGCATTGGTCTATGTCTGTCTTTATGCCGGTACTACACTATTTTAATTATTGCAGCTTTGTAATATAATCCAGCAATCCCACTTCTGGGCATTTATATAAAAGAATTGAAATCGGGATTTCAAAGGTATTAGCATTCCCATGATCATGGTAGCATTATTAACAATAGCCATCTACAGATGAATGGATAATGTGGTACATACATACAATGAAATATTACTCATCTATAAAAAAAGAAAGAAATCCTTCAATGTGGGGTAATTTGGATGAACCTGAGGACATTATGCTAAGTGAAATAAGCCAGTCGCAAAAGGATAAATACTGCATAATTCCACTTATGTGAGTGTACTAGTCAGTTCCTCTTGCTTATAACAAAATACTTGGAACTGGGTAATTTATAAAGAAAATGAAATTTATTACATACAGTTTCTGAGGCTAAGAAGTCCAAAGTCCATCTGGAGGTGGCAACAGTGACCCAGGGGTCTCACATTGCAAGATGGTGGAAGCAGAGAGAGCAGAGAGTAACCTCCTCATTCACTCTCTTTTTAAAGCCCTCAGAACCATGCCCCTGACCACCATTTTTAACCCATTCACTACTGCACAGTCCTATAATCCAATCACCTCTTCAAGGCTCCACATTTCAATTACCATAGTAGGATTTCCCACCCTCATAACAGTCACAGTGGGGGCTAAGTTTTTAATACATAAAACATGGGAGATACAATTCAAGCTTCAATGAGTTTTTGCGGGACATAATTCAATCCACTACAGTGAGGTTATCTAAAATAGCCAAACTCACAGAAGCGGAGAACAGAATAAGAGATTTCTAAGGGCTGAGGGGAGGGGGTAAGAGGGAGTTACTATTCAAGGTTATGAAATTTTTGTTATACAAGTTGATTACATTCGAGAAATCTGCTTTACAACATTGTGTGTATAGTTAACAATACCACATTGTGTGCTTAAAAATTTCTTGTGAAGGTAGATCTCATGTTAAGTGCTCTCACCAGAATTTTAAAATAAAAGTGCTAGAAAGAGATCAACACAGGAATCTCTGCAAGCATAGAGAAAAGGAACCAACACAGGGCTGGAGGAGGGTGGTGGTAGCCAAAGACTTCAGTGGAAATATAACATTTGGGCAATCTTTGACGCTTTAACATAATTCAGCTAGAAGAAAAACAGAGTCAAACATGTTTTCAAGCAAAGGGAAGATGTATAAAACCAAAGGGTCTTGAGAAAGCGTGATATATTTGGCAAATCAAAGGTATGTTGACATAGACAGCATACAGGATACGGGGAAATGGCAATTGGCTGAAATGAGGTTGGAAATGTAGTCAAGACCAGATGATAAAAGACTTGGATATCATACTGTGGAGCTTGAATTTGTTCTAATGGTAAAGTGAAAACTCTGAGCGATTTAAAATAACTCTCAGAAGATCATTCTGCTAGTAGGTGGGAAGATGGATTTAACAGTAGCCAGGATGGAAGCAGAAAAATCTAGTAGGAAAACAATTTTGATAGTCGAGGCAAGGGGTGTCCAGAACCTTAACTAAAGAGAAAGACAGCTGGGATAAAGTTAAGCAATAGTAAAGCAGCAGAATGTAACTTGCGGGCTGGTTGAAAACCAAAGCTGTAGAAGAGGATGACATTTAGCATAACCTCAAATTTTGGAGTTGAGCAGATTGGGAGATGGCTGAAGCATTCTCAGAGGCAGGGATTACCTACAGAGTAAACCTTTACAGGAGATAATGCATTAAATCTCCATTCAGTTTGACCTTGAGATATCTTTGGTATTGCCAAGGGATAGTATTTCATCAGCAGTTGGATAGATGAGCAAAGAGCTCAGGGAAATCAATATAGACTATGAATTTGTGTGGCAGAAGCATTGAGTGTCATCAGGCAGAGGCTAAATTGCAGTCGGCTGAGTGAAGGGCGAGGGCGTAGAATCATTACTTACCGACAATTATTTTTTTGACATTTATTTGTACATATTTGTGGGGTACGACGTGTAGTTACAATATGTGCATATGCTATACATTGATTCACTTAGGGTAGATAGCGTAGCTTTATACCCGTTAATCTGCCACTTCCCCTGCCAGAACTATGCATAAATGGAAAGTAGTTAGAAAAAGACATTTCCAAAAGGGTGGTTTTTAAATAGAGGTGTGGCTTGAATATATTTCTATGCAAAGATGAAAATTGTGACGGGAAATATTTTAAACACCATAATATAAGGGAAGATAACTGAGTGAGTGAGGTCTCTGAAGACACGAGGTACAGCACAGATGGGAACAAACCTTGGACTTGGGAAGAAGATCTTGTCCCTTGATGTGATAAAGATGTGTGGATGAGTGCAGATTCCTGGAGTAGTAAAATTGCCTAAGCCTCCAGGGGATGTGTGTTGTTTAGTCATAGGCTTGGTTTATATTTTGACATGTCATAAGCACTGTATGCCCTCTTTCCAGAGCATTTATTTTCCTGGGGAAGAGTAGAAAGTCTTCCCTGATTTCTCAGCTTTCATTTGACCACTAACTAGTTGTGTGGCTCTAAAGCAAGGATGTCCATTTGCAAGATTTTAGGCATTTTCTTGTTTAACATGATAAACATAATACATATGTGTAGATTTTATAAGACGCTCTACATAAATAATCACTTTATTATTTAAAATGACTAGGGATTCCCAGAAAAGTTAAAGAAATAAATTTTATGTTATGTAGTTTAGATTTTTGCAGAACTGAAAAAATTGTCATATAATGTTTTACATCATTTATTCCCACATCAATACAACACTTCTCACTTAAAACACAGTGAATGTTTATAACCATGCTATTTACAGTCTAAGGTCTACATTTTTATTATCTATATTACTTGTAAAGAGTGAAAAGGTAAACACAGAATTTATACATGAAGTAACTAGGATTTAATCTTTTGCTACCTAACAGATGGGTGTTTGCTTTAAAATAGAATAGAAAGATTACCCCAAGGGCAGGTGTGGGTAGGAGGGGTGGGAAGCTCTGTAATGTGTGAAAAAACAATTATGGAAAAAGCAAAGACAGATGGAATGCCTGGACATCATAGAGCATGAACCTGGAAAAATTCCGAAGAAATAACCAAGTTTTGTTCTCTCTCTCAAGTCTTCCATGCTTACCTTGTCCTGTCAGAACGAGGTATGCTCAGTTACCCTGAGCAAGGTTTGCTTGCATTTCATAAGCAGATGCTCTTAAGATTCCTTCGGGTATTGATAGTTACAGTAATCTCTCACAGAGAAAATATCTGTATTTTCCATATGAATAAAGTCACTCCAATATGTCAGCTGAAGAATCTCTCTTCGCTGCTGTTTCCAAAGTATCTTTCTCTGCACTGAGCAGCCAGTTCTTCCATGAAGCAAACCCTGTCCACAGCAGACACTTGTGGTCAATGAAGTGGGGTGTCTGGGTATAAATAGCCAAAGATACACAGAAATAATAACTCAGTGAAAAAGGCTGATGTGGATCTGTACAGGCTGACTGATGTAGGTTGGCATTCTTGATCAGAATATTAAAGCAACGACCTTATGTCTTTCTGGGCTTTGGCATCAGTGATGTAAACACAATAGTCATAACATGGCAAGCACCGTGATATCAGGTCTGCGGTGCTGGCTGTTAATACAGAAGTGTGTCTAGCTCTGGGCACTGGAAGCTCCACATTATGGGGACTGGCCGTGCGAGCTCAACACTTGACCCTGTTGAATTTAGCTGATTGGCTCTGATTCCTCCAAGAGCCTGAGACATTTCTTGCTGAAGGGTTTCTACTAGAAAAATTCTCTCTCCTGGTAGTGCTGATTGGAGAGTTAACTGGGACACCAGTTCTTTGCCTCTGTGCAAGGAAGTTCTTGAGCTGGCTATGAGTATTTGGACTTGATTCTGTAGTTTTAAGAGAGTATTAATATTTTTAATGATTTTTCTTATTCTAGAAAGAATATCTGTTATTTAGGAAAAAATTGAAACTACAGAAAAGAATCAAAAAGTAAATTAAAAAAATGCCAATAATCTCACTCTCTAGGCAATATATTGTTAATCTTTTGATAAATTTGTTTCA